TCAGAAGCATCTTTGGCAAGATACTCAAAGTAAAGGAATCAGTTTCCTACATTCATGTTGCATTAAATGAAACAACCATAGAGTTCAATTGAAGGGCGTTTAACTCTCATTATTTCTTAAGCCTGAAGAAGAAACTGGATTGGCATTCTTATTTGGCACCTTTGAAGTCCCTTGGTTGCTTCAAGTACTTTGAGACTCCCAGCTATTATAACTGAACCTTTCATCAGTTTGAGAGATAAGGACTATATTTATGCTTTTTTTGTGTGAACAAATTAGGTTGATAGTCTGTCCTGGTTTTGACTAAAACAGGACCAGTTCTCCTTTCAGTAGATCTTTTCCTTCAGTTAAGTTTCTTCTAAGTAACTGCCACTTTCTGAAGTTGGCAACATGTTTTTCAGACAGTCTCTTCTTTTAGAATTAATAATGCTTGATGTTTATAGTTGTTACCAAGGTAACAGTAGGATTGATATGCAGAAAGGCCCATGTTTATACTTATTCCTGTGGGAACCAAGGTCACTGTTGGTTCTCTTAAGTTCCACAAGTGAAAAGGTGTAAAAGGGTCTCACCTGTGGAAGGAATGAACAGGACAGGTGACCAAAAACTGACCAACAAAGTATTTCATCCTATAAATGTCATACTCAGTATAAAACTAAGGGATCATGGGGGTCAGCCTTTCTTCTTTCATGGCTGGCATCATTGTGGGACACTGCTTGTTCTGCCTCTGATCCTGATCTGTGTATTCCTGAATCTGCTTCCCGTCTGCTGCTGAGTCCAGTCTGGGACATTTGAATGCCTGCCCTGCCACATCAGCGGGGCAAGCCACTGTGGCTCACAATTCCATTGTCATCATTGGGAAGCTCAATGTTGGGTTTCTATATTTTTATTTCTATTGTTAATAGTATTAGTATTAATATTATTATACTCCTTTTAATTGTTACTGTTTTATTAAAGTATTAAAGTAGTTTTAATTTTCCAGCTTATAAGTCTCTCTCCCTTTTCTCCTTTCCTTTCCCTTCTGGGGAATGAAGGGGTTTAATAGAGAGCCTCTGTCATCTTTTTTGCCTCAGTCTTTAATAGCCAGACCAGTTATCCTCAGGGCAGCCAGTCCTCTGAGCTGGATGACAGGAGTGGGGAACAGAATAATCCTGCCATTTTCCAGGAGGAAGCAGTTAGCGATCTGCTACTCCACCTAGACATGAACAAGTCTATGGGGCCGGATGGGATTCACTCGAGGATACTGAAGGAACTGGCAGATGTGCTTGCCAAGCCACTCTTCATCATCTACCCGCAGTCCTGGCTAACTGGGGAGGTCCCAGATGACTGGAGGCTAGCCAATGTGACGCCCATCTGCAAGAAAGGCCAGAAGGAGGATCCGGGGAACTACAGCCCTGTCAGCCTGACCTCGGTACCGGGGGAGGTGATGGAGCAGATCACTCTGAGTGAGATCACAAGGCATGTGCAGGACAATCAGGGGATCAGGACTAGCCAGCATGGGTTCATGAAAGGCAAGTCCTGCTTGACCAACCTGATCTCCTTCTATGACCAGGTGACTCGCTTGGTGGATAACGGAATGTGGATGTGGTCTACCTGGACTTTAGCAAGGCCTTTGACACTGTCTCTCATGGCATTCTCCTGGAGAAACTGGCAGCAGTTTTGGGCCCCTCACTACAAGAAGGACATTGAGCTGCTGGAGCGTGTTCAGAGAAGGGCAACAAAGCTGGTGAAGGGCCTGGAGAACAAGGCTTATGAGGAGCGGCCGAGGGAGCTGGGGTTGTTTAGTCTGGAGAAGAGAAGGCTGAGGGGAGACCTGATCGCTCTCTACAACGACCTGAAAGGAAGTTGTAGTGAGGTGGGGGTTGGTCTCTTCTTCCCAGTAACTAGCGATAGGACAAGAGGAAACAGTCTCAAGTTGCACTAGGGGAGGTTCAGGTTGGATATTAGGACGAACTTCTTCACTGTAAGAGTCATTAGGCATTGGAATGGGCTCCCCAGGGAGGTGGTGGAGTCACCATCCCTGGAGGTGTTCAAAAAAAGGTTTAGATGTGGTGCTTCGAGACATGGTTTAGTGGGCATGGTGGCATCAGATACATGGTTGGACTTGATGATCTTTGAGGTCTCTTCCAACCATAATGATTCTATGATCTGCTTACATTGCTGACCCAGCCTTAAACGGTGACATAAGCACAGCACACGGGTGGCTGCAGTCACGGGTGGAGCTTCCTGAATTCTCTATTCACTGTTTTTTTTTTCCTCTTGGCTTTTGTGCAATCCAGCAGCAGTCATTTTTGCCTATAAGCTTTGGTGGTATCAACACACAATCTGTGCTATCACCTGCAGTCTTCAGCTGTAGTGCACTACATCATGGAATTAATACCACATAACTGAATATGTGCTTTAAGCTTGTCATTAAAGCATTTTGGTGGCCTACTCAGTCATTTACCATATTTTAATCAGACATTAAAAAAAAAAAGTGTTGGATAATCTGTTTTTGGCATTCTAACAACGTGCCCAGAGCAGCTTAAGTGAGCCTGCAAGGCAGTAGCTTCAATCATATGTATCTGATAGCATGCTAATCAGCGTTCAGGTCTGTATTTTGATGTGTTACACTAGCAAAGAGCCAAAGATGGTACATATGGAATTTGAGATATCTGACATGATGACTACAAGTTGTCTAGATATTACAGCTGTTAAGAACGATGATGACTGCAACATGTGTGGATTTTGCTAGAGGTCTTTCATTTCTAGGGTACTCCTTTTATCTCCTAAGGCTGTGCGGGCTTTCATGATCCTCCCTGGGACTTTGTCATCATTAAAGGGATTCTGAGACACTCTCCTACTCAAGTAGAAAAATTACTTTCCAAATGTCACCTCTGCACTGTCTGTTTTCATTATTGTCCTGACATGCCTTTCACCATAGCTGGAATAGGATCTCTGTTTTCTATATACTGATGCTGAGGCCAAATTATTTGGCAGTGCAATCAAAACAGTTTAGTAGTATGTTGGAGGTTCTGTTGGCTAGAATTCCTCATCTCCAAAGTAGGCATTTAGGGTTGTTTTAGGTCTGTCTTTGTCAACAATTTATCCTGCCTAGGCCCCTGACATTTTTTTATATGTGCCTTCTTAGCATTCTGCAGAGAGATGTCTAGAGACATGCATAAATATTTAAGGTTTTCTGAAGCATGTGGACCATGTACGTATACAGCAATCTAGGCAACTAAGTACCAAATAAGACAACAGGTGTATGATCTACCACTTTCCAGATGCCCAAGTTCCACTTTTACTGCTTGCATCATGTTCTTTCTAATATCCAGAACGTGGGAGCTCTCACAGACATCTGGAAGTTTGGTCACCTGGGCTAGCAATGAAGTTATGAATTAAACAGAGAAATAAGACACAAGAGTGGCCCGTGGCATTTTTGCTGGATGTTCTTATTGCAGTTCAAGAGTCTCCCAGAGTGCACCACAACTTATGGAATGGGACATTTCTTAGTCATTTTCTGGTTTATTTAAGTTTGTTCCTACATCTGTAAGTCTATTAGTTGCTGTAGCAATTTTTGTTTGATCATACTCCCAACTGATAGGACAGAAGAAGAAGAAAACATAGGGAGGTCAGGAATACTGATTATCTACCTACTGATTTTTTTTTAAAAAAAGTAATTGCCACTGGTATTTTTGAAGCAAAATGAATAATCCTTCATATTTCAGTTTGGTCTAATAAGGTAGGGGAAAAAGAGGAATGCTCTGATTAGGTGTGGGCTTAAGAGCTCTGAAAGATTTTTCAACCATGGATTAAACCTGAGTGGCCAAAGAAAGATGTGAGATCAAAGATGGAAGTTCTCTCTGAGAGATGATGGCAGTCACTCTTGATTCACTTCTGAAATAGCACATAGATCTTGAACCATGGCAAGGTCCCTTTAGGTATATTATAGTGTTTTACTTACGTTGACCTGTAAATTTGAATCAGTTGAGAACTGGATTTGCAATCAGATCAACATCTCCGCTTTGGAGCTGACAACATCTGTCCTTTGCCTGGTGTAGATGTCTGTGGTGTTTGTCCCTTTGGTATTCACCTACCACCACATACCTGTCACAGCCCTTAGTCTCTCTATATCTCTGTTCCTTATGTTTAAACTGGAGTTACTGAAAACTGCCTGCACAGAAATTACATAAGGAAATGTTTGGTTTTGATATCTGGAGATTTTTTTTTTACAGTGATGGGAGCAAGAAATGTATGTAGATTTATCCTGGAACAGGCAAAGGCCTTTGTTCCTCAAAATCTGCTTTTTCTCTTGGTAATTGTATAAAGATGAAATGATAAAAATGAGTAGAATTTGTGATGTAATTTTACTGATACATCCTAAATATTTTTTGAGATTTAATGCTTTTTATGTTTTCTAGACTAGTTTTTTTAATAGCTTATAAATCAATAATGGAAGTGTATTCAATGTGTATTTAATGGCATTGGTGTTGTGGATGTGCCGCTTTCATCTCTGTCTCTGATTTTCCTGAAGATGTTGATGAGTACCAGCAATGCAGATTTCAGAGGATGGAATATTTATCCTGTTTTTTCCTGAACTTTGATTTCCGTGAACGGCTGTTAACTTAGGTGTATTTTATTATCCACATTAGCCTAGCGATTAGTAATCAGTATATATGGAAAAAAAACCCAACCCCCAACACTTTGATTACGACCATGTGGCCTAGTTCCTGACTCTGTATCAAATAACAGTAATCAGAATTGACTTTGAACAGAACAAACACAGATTTTTAGTAGAACAGAGGCATATAGTGGGTAGGGTTTTGGCAGGGTCTGTGTGTTTCAGCAAGGTAGAACAATTAAGATAAAAACTGTATGGACGATGGCTGATGAGATGATAAAGTGAGAAAAGAACATGGTGAATTCTCTCAAAATGTGAAGTTGCTGCTATGCTTTGAAATGTTTTAATTTAAAAAAAGGCATTTTAACTAATTATCTCACATTTTTTTTATTCTGATTCATAGAAAATTTCACCTTGGGTAGGTTTACGCAAGATCAACATCTCGTACTGGGGATGGGATGACATGTCTCCTTTTACAAATACAACTCTGCAGTGGCTTCCTGGAGAGCCAAATGACTCTGGTTTCTGTGCATATCTAGAAAGAGCAGAGGTGGCAGGTCTGAAAGCGAATCCATGCACTGCAATGGCAGATGGTCTTGTGTGTGAAAAACCTGTTGGTAAGCCATCTGTTATACTGAGTTACTGTTACTGTCATGATCAAGCTGTTTTTATTTGACCAAGAGAGAATTTTGGACAATTTGGATTAAATTATTACCAAAAAAAGTTTACTTTTTATTTTTTTTTTTTTTAAAATATGGAGCTTTAATCTAGAAAACAACATTCCTGAAGCAGCAAATATTTATTTGTGAATTAGTTTACATGGCTTAGTTTGCATTACACTAGAAGTCTTATAAGTTGCCTCTAAATCAGTAGTAGTCAGTGACAACAGTGATTGTAGCATGAAAGCATCTATCGAAGTGTTCAACAAGGCTGATGTTTTCTTTCTGAATCTCTCTGAATATCAATGAACATTTTAATGGTCTAAAAGACTGACAAAACAAAAATTCTTGTCTCCATCTTTTAGGTTTGTATATAAAGATTCCTGTGGCAAATAGTCACTTGACAGTTCAAATTAGCATTTTCGTGCTCCGATTGTCGTATGTTTCTCTTCATAGCTGTGAGGTTGAAGCACTTGAAGTTCTTTAAATTTTCTCTTCACATTTATTTTGTGCATTGTTCTGTCTGCAAAACTAGAAAGTAGCTACATTGTTGGTGTATTAGGAACACTGAGTATCAGTCTGATGATTTTGCTGTGAAATTGCCAGAGTTGTTAACTTGCATAACCAATATGTGATCTTACCAATCCTTTATTTTCTTATAAGCAATTCCAAATAATAATGTAATTGCAAAGTATATATTGTACACTTGTTGCTACTGCCATCTATATTTTCTAAAAATTTCATCTTTCACAGTGTTCCTAATTTTGAGTTAATTATTACCAGATGTTTCTCAGAATAGTAAAAGATAAATTCACAACGGAAGAGACATCTCAAAATGTAAAAGATACACTAGATGGAACACAAATGACATTATTAAGATGCAGTATTTTGCAATTAGATCAGTGTTATATGCATCTGTTACTGGTGTCTTGTTTTAGTTTCTTTTTGATCTTGAGGTGCTTCAAAGACTATAGAAGTCAAAGTACTTCAGCCTTATGAGAATACTTCTGTAGTTCAGCTAATTTTTGTTACTTTTTTCTTTGTATTTTTTATTAGTTGCAAACCACAGCTTGAACACGTAGTTGGTCAAATCCAGGAACAGCCTTGGTTAAATGATTTGGCGTACTATATTAGCAGATGAAGAATGGCTTGAGAACTTGGCTTGTGTTGAATATGAGTCAATAATATACAAAACCATGGCTTAATCCAGATGTTTCACAAGGCACTTCTGTATGGAGGAAAATATAATGTTCTCTATACTTTTGTGTTCCTACCAAAGAATTACTGTACTCTTGTTCCTGTACACTTTACAGTTTTATTTGAAATCAAAGAAAAAATCAGGAGTTAGGGTGTACAAGTTCTTTTCGTGTTACAACTTTTTGAGGTGACATATACCACTAATCTCGTAAAAATATGGTCTCTAGTAGAGAAAAACAAATAAAGACCAAAACCCAATGAAGAAAAAAAAAAAACCAACCAAACTTGTTTTGCACTGAACAATGTTTCTCTTGTTACTTTCCTTTTGGATTCTAGAGATTTTTCGTATGTACACTATAAGGCCAAATTTTAGGGGATAAGTCATAAGTAGAATATTTATTGTTTACTCACTGTTGAACTAATGCGGACGATAGACCCCAAACTCTCCTCTACTTGCTATAGAAGTTGGAGATTTTTTTTATACCATGCATGTGCAAGTAACTAAGCTGACGTTGCCAGGCAATGAATATTAAATTTACTATTTCAGTATATAGATAAAATTGCTGTGAAAATTTTTAAATGGACTCTTTTAGAGCTCTAGTATGACTCATGCTGAGTATTACTTAATTTTTAAAAAATATTACTGTTTTTGTATACTGCACTGTAAGTTTGGACTAAATTATTTATAGCTAGTTAAGGAAGCAACCACTTTCACCTTTAACAAGAGTTTTTCTAATGGAACATATGATTAAAGAAAAAGGAGATTGCACTTGTGTTCAAAATTATAAATGTTTGTGGTTCTTTTCCAGTTAGTCCCAACCAGAATGCCAGACCCTGCAAAAAGCCATGCTCCCTGCGAACAACATGTTCTAACTGCACGAGTAATGGCATGGAATGTATGTGGTGTAGCAGTACAAAACGATGCGTTGACTCAAATGCCTATATAATCTCCTTCCCATACGGACAATGTCTGGAATGGCAAACTGCTACATGCTCCCGTGAGTATCACAGTGAACATTGATCCTATTAGATATAACGTCGTATTTTTTTCCACTCATAAGAGCATCTATATGAATAGGATTCAGCACATTCACTAGAGATAAAAATAGTTTCAGATGAATCATCTTATACAGCTACTAATGTGGGCAGTCAATACTGTGTATGTATTTTCTAGATACAGATAAAATATTAGTAATTCTTTTATGATGAAACATATTTAGTCTGTTAAAACAGATAGTAAAAGCATTTATTGTTTTCATATAAAGAAAAAATACTATAGTTTTTTTTGTGACCAGCATTGTCGTGTCATATAATGGCCATGAGTTGGAACAAAATACTGTTAAAATTAAGAAATAATATGCAGACCTTAGACTTACAGTTATTAAAGACATCTGGTTATTAAAAAAAGAGATGAGCTGAATTCAGAGTTCTTAAGATTCTGATTTATTTTCTCAGTAGATTCAAAGAAGTACATTTTCCTAGCATGCAAAGTTAAAAACAAGGCAAGTGAGTTCTTTGTCAAGCAGAGAAGGTACTCCCCAGATGTCCCCTTTGGAAGTACATTTCATCAGAAATTGATGCAACACCTTTCTAGACAATAAGAAACCTACTCAATGTACTTTTCAGTATACTGTTCAGCTAGAACTACTTCTTCGCAAGTCTGTAGTGACTGGAACTTGTTAAGTTCAGCACCATGCAGTTCCAGTGTATGTCAGTGCCATAATTCATGTAGATGCTGGAGCAAGCTGCATGGTGCCTTAAATTTTTGTCTCAGTTGTGATTTATTTAAAAAAATTCCTCAGTTGCCATCTTACAGAAAACTGGTTCTTAGTATTTTTACTGTCCTTCAAGATTTGATTAAAATATTTCCTAGCTGTAATGGACTCCAATGCAATGGGACCCAAAATTAATATGCAGGACTTCTGAGAGCCCTTGAACTCTCATTATTGCTCTTCTCTGTGAGAGTGTTTCTCTAGTTATTTGAAACTTCCTTTCCCTCTCCATAAGGGTCTTTTGATATCAGCATCATTTTATTTCTGGGTATGTTCTGGCAGGACTGATGAAGTTGTCCAACACGAAGCAACTTGCTTTAGGGTCTTAATTAGATCATGATTCCATTTAAAAGATTTTGGATGCAAATAGAAAAGGTAGTTACTTGCTTTCAACTAAACCTCGGGAAAATATTAAGTAAAATAAGGTCCTGCCATATCTGTAACAGGAACTGTTGATACACTCTAAACTTAGGAGAGAAGAATGACTATATGTACCAGACCACTATGTATATCTGGGTTAAACGAAAATAAGGCATAGGAAGATTTTTCTTTCAGGTAAAACTGGCCAAGGATAGTGGAACCTACAGAGCCTAAATAGAGATTCCTCTTCATCCTTAGTAATCATAAACCACAATGAACCAGTACGATGTTGCACTGTTCTGGTGAATTTTTACGCTTAGAAAATTTCAGATATTAATCCAGGTTCTAGCGCCCAGGTTCAGTGTGGGCTAAAAGTAGGGTTTACTTGTTCCTTGGGTCTTTATGTCCTCTAAACCCAGTCATCAGCCCATGTTTGGTTAAGAAGAAAGAAATAATAGGAACACCTAATCTTCTTATCCCATATATTTGGAATACTAATACTGTAATTATGTAAAGGTTTCTCTCTCCTAAGAGTTCACTAATCTTTTTTTCACTCCTATAAGGAGTCAGTTTTTCAACTTACACAATATTCATAGTGAGCTGTGGCAGAAGATAAATAGATTGAAAATTTGGAGATAAAATAGACCGCCACACGAATGATGCTTAGCTTTTAAAAATACCATATATTATTGCAGCCTGAACTTTTAATTCTGTTTCTGTGCTTGTGTAGTATTTGCACATCGTGCATATTCAATTTGTTTGGGGAACACAAAAGATTGTTTTTAATTTAATTGTCATTTTTGTCAGGTCTGTAAAAGTTTATATTAAATAAGGCAAATGGGATTTGCTATATACCAGTTCTTCATTATGTAAAGGCAGTTTTGTATTGAAAATGTATTTTCTATTCAGCAAATTAAAGAAAAACAAGATTCTGTGTCGATAGGCAGGATTTTTTTCCAATTTAAAGCATTACATATTTTGCATTTAAACAAGAAAATGAATGTTCAAATGAAACATGGTTCAGACATTGTTTCAGTCTAAATGACTTGAAAATTTTGTTAGGTAAATACATCATTATTGCTGCTAGGTAATGAAGTATTAAGTGGATTCCCTTATAAAAGGGTAGTGTTTCTACTTACTTGAACAATGGAATGTAACTACCTTTAAAAAAAAAAATCCCCTTTATTTTATTTTTATTCTGAATGACTGATTTCTGAGTTTTGGGATGTTTTGCTCTGAATGGCGAAAATAAAACTTCACACAAGCATGTATGATTTATAAAAAGAGAAAAAAAACAAAAACCAAACACAAACAAAAAAAACCCAACACACCAAAAAAACATGAGAACTTCACATTTATTTTCACAACTTGGAATAAAAATGAAGAACACTCTTATACTGGTGACATTTTGTCATTTTATACGTCCTTGCCAAAAAGTTGCATTCCACTCTTCCCCACATCTTCTATCCATTATGACTTTTGATTGAGTAGCTGACAGTTGAACAAACTTGGACCACCTGTAGTATTTAAAGGGAAAAAAAAATTTTTGCTTGAATATCTCCTTCTTCCATAAACAATAACTTCTCAGTTAGCTCTCTTCAATTTTGCGATTGAATGCCACTGCAGAGAATATCTGATTTTCACTTTTGGTTCTGTTTTATCTTCCATGAAGATAGTGCAGCTGATACTTCAGAACTATTTTCTCCTAGCTTTATAAATAGCAACATGAGAATTGTTTGGATAATGTACAGTGCAGCTCTGAAAGGGCAAGCCACCCAATACAGAATGGTGGTCTTTATTTTTCTGCTGATCTTCTAATGTATTCAAAAACCAAAATTTGTATCATTCAGCTTGCGTCACGAGTGATGTTGATTTCCAAGAACAGTTGAGCTCCTTCCCCACCTTTTTTCCGTATTTGGGAAACTTGGAACATTTCCTTCTATTTGGATTCTTCCAAGTCTAATGATACAAAAGCTCATGCTCCAGCTTTGTGCACAGTTGAAGTCCTTTTGAGATCTCATTCAGATTCTTAACTGCCTGTTTTCTTGATATCTGCATGTATCTTTACACTACTTCAGTATTTTTTCTCTGACAACTTTCATTACTTTTAAACAATGTTAATAGTGGCTAAGGTCAGAGTAGCTAGCTTTATTCTGCTGTCAGTTTATTTAATTAGAAATGAAATAATTCTACTTAGTATAGCCTTTATAGCATGGATTCAAGTATTGTCTTTGTGGAGGAGAGTGATCCAGGTAGTTGTGAACATTAGTTGGATATATTGTCCTGACTGCAGCTGAGCCAAATTGAGAGGTTACACTCATGTAGAAGCTATTTGAGTATCCTCCAAAAAACTCCCACAAACCTTTAAAATACCTTCTTTTAAAAAGAAACGTAGACTGTTTCTGGCTTCCTGGTAGCATCTTCCTGAAGTTCATATATGCTTTTAAAATTTATTTTTTAAGTATCTACAAAGTTAATGTGAGAAGAGACAGGGACCCATAGTGATCAATGTTCAAATGATTCTGATGTTAATTTGATTCAGTGTTACAGCATTAATTTAAAATTTTAAGATGTAACAGAAAAAACTCAAATAAACTTGTGAACTCTAATGTTGTTCCTGAAGATACTAAATTGCACAAAGAAATAGAAATGTAAAATTGTTTCTTCATCAGCTGTTGTAAAATCCTAGCATCTTATTTAAAGAACAAAACCAAAAAAACACCAACAAACCAAACAACCAAAAAACCAAACTAAAGCCTGAAACAAAAAGACCTCTTTGCATTAATATTGTATTCCATGTAATAAAGCTCAAAACTGCTCTGGACTGAGGACCTGTGGACAGTGTTTGGAACAGCCTGGATGTGGATGGTGTAACGATCCCAGTAACACTGGAAAAGGACAATGTTTGGAAGGATCATCAAGAGGCCCAATGAAGCCTGTCGGCGTGCACTCTGATGAAATGGTGCTTGATGCTAGTCTTTGTCCAAAAGAGAAAAATTATGAATGGTCTTTTATCCAGTGTCCAGGTAAGGTCTGCTTTCATTCTTTCTTACCTTACTTCCATGAAGTAAGAGATGTTTCTGTGTTTAAGCATGCCAAATTAACATAATTATTTTGAGTAATACAAATAACATTTGCATGAGAGTGTTATTTTTTCTAAAATATTTCCTAGATATATAGTTCATTGAATCATAGAATGGTTTAGTTGAAATGTACCTTAAAGATCATCTCGTTCCAACCCCCCTGCTGTGGGCAGCGACACCTTCCACTACAGCAGGTTGCTCAAAGCCTCATCCGACCTGGCCTTGAACACTTCCAGGGATGGGGCATCCACAACTCTCTGAGCAACCTGTTCCACTGCCTCACCACCCTAATTTACCCCTTATATCTAATCTAAATCTTCCCTCTTCCAGTTTAAAGTCATTACCCCTTGTCCTATCACTCCATGCCTTTGTCAAAAGTCCTTGGAAGTAGTTTGTTCATCTGTGTCCACTGAACACAAATGTGCTCACTGTTATACAGGTTCACATGTGAAATTTAATGCATAATAGTTTAACCAAAATTGCCATTTATTTGTAAATAAGTTTTCACCCATCCTATCCTACTTTTCCAATCCAACTGTATGGATTTGCTTCATCTTTTGCTTTCTTCTGGCTTGTGTATCCATTAAAAAAGAGTGCTGTTGGAGAGAAATTATCTATAGGCAGCTGCTGATGGCCAGGAGCAGGAACTTCCTGTGTCCGTGCTGCTCATGCAAAAGTCTAGCTGGCTGTTGGAATGAGGGACTGCCAAATATCTGAGCTGTGCCTCCGGTCTACCTTTTAGACATTTTGAGTAAATAAAATGTATGCCTTTGTAATCCTAAAGAGAATATCTCAAGTGTAAATTTAAGCCATACCAATCTGATTATAGTATTTTAATTTTTAACTTCATTGCAAAAGTAAGCAAGACATCAGATGCTTTAAGACAGTGGAAGCTGAGCTGGTATGGCCTCCTGTATGGAAATACTCAAATCCTGAAAGGAGTGTGTGAAAGCAGCAGTGTAGTAGTGCAGGCAAATGAAAAGCACACTGGGGAGTTTGACAGACCTCCAGTGATAATTTACAATAAATAATGCAGTTTAAAAGACAGCTTGAAAACTTTTTTTAGAATAAATGGTGTATTGTGCTAAAGTTATTTTTCCAGCAAGTGTTCCTACTGCTGATAAATTTGGAAGCTGGAATTTCTCTAGGATCAAAACTTTTATGGGTACATGCAGCTATTTTTGTTTGCTCTCCTGGGTACTTTTTTCATCAGCATATTCTCCCTGCATGTATGCATATATATGTGTGTTTATATATATTTATATGTAAGTGTGTGTATCACTATATTATTTAGAAAGCAGAATCTCTGAAGAAAGTTTTATTTTGGTAACTTTTTTGACTACATAGGTAGAGAGTAGATTTTTTTCATTTTTTTTTTTTTTTTTAAAGTTTCAGAATAATGAAGTGAAATATAAAACCAGGTGAACATTGTCAAATGTTCGTCTAATACCATTTCCTGAACAACGAAGCCTCTAGTAAATTTCTGGAAACAATAGAATGACATTACATTGTATGGAAACTTAGTACTTTGTATGTTAAAATACAAATATGTTGATAATAAGTGCATTGTTAGACTTTCAGTGCAATACATAGTATCTACCAGTAGTGGAATTGTAATGGATATATATATATTGCTTGTCTAAACTGTTTGAGTTAGGAGATTTCATCACCTTATTTGTTTAATATTTATTCTGCATGGATAAAATTCTGTATTCATTGTATGTTCTGACGAAGAATTCACTGAAGTTCCATTTTAGTTTAAAAAAACACTAGTTTTATGAGTTTGAGGCAAATCCTACAGAAGTCATAGAATTAAAATTTCAGCTGATATGAAGTTTCATTTTGATTGATATAGGCTGTAGGTTTTATTCCTAAGCTTTTGTTTTCATTTTCTTAAAGTGTGAGCTGTAGTGGATTATAATAACAGAGTTTATTATTCTTAGCACAGCAATCATTTGATGTACTTGAAAGAAGATAGAATTGGTACTAAGTCTATATAAGCTTACTGAACAGTTTGTAGTTTGGATGAAAATAAAAATAAATAGGTTATAACACGTAGTTTGAAGATTATGCTGCCACATTGGTGAATAGTTGGCTAAACCATTCATGATCATTCATGTATGCACTTAGTTTTCCTTGTAGTTCATATCCATGTTCTTTATAGTGCCTCTGGGCAATTGTGTTGGTAAGTATTTTAAATTCGTTCTCTTTTTCTGTCTGTTCAAATCTTTATAACTAGTATTTAGCAAGTAGCATAAAAAAATGTTTCTTTTTGTGACTGATCATTTTGAAATCAATAGTCCTCAAAGCATCTGTCATCGTATTTCTTTGGATAGGAATACTGGTTTTGTAATCAGATTTATATTTTAACTGAACAATTATTATAAATAAAATAGCAAATATCATATATACATATATATGAAAAGGAAGAAAAATAGTGTTGGCATTTTCTCTGATGAGAAGAGCAGTTTAGGTAGAATGCAAGCCCAAGTTTGTCTTTAAGGCCTAAATTTCTCCTCTGAAAAGCAGTGTGAATTGATTCTGACTAGTTTGTTTAAAACTAGGTGAAGTATCTTTACACTAGATCCAGATTGTAATGCAGACATCCTTTTTATGTTTTCCCTATTAAGTATTTTCTTAAAACTATAATTATCAACAATTGTCAGCATCACCGACCATTTCAACACAGAAGTCAAAAGCAAATTAGACAAAAAATTACTCATCTCCAGGGTGGCCTCACTGAAGATTCAGCTAAATCACATTTGCATGTGTGAGGAAAATTACTCTGTTGCTGCCAGTGATGTACATTAAAATCACGTAAAGGAAAATTGACTCTAAAATTTGACTCCTAGTTCTTATTTAAATGATCATTACAATATCTCTTTGTTTTAATTATTTAATACTGATGTCTCCAGTTTGATTGCACTCATCTCTATCACAGAAAGTTGCTGAATTACGCAATTCTTCTGGCTTTTCACTTTTCTCAATGAGATACATATTTTTAGGAAAATCAGCAAGTATATAATATACTTTTAAAATGGTATGCCATGTCAATTGTAGATTGTATTGGTTCTTATTGTGTGTGTGTGTATATATATATATATATTTGAATTTGATTTAAAATCTCTTCCATTTTCTTTGCCTGAACAAAGTGTAAGAATTAAGAGTGTCATATATGACCAGATAGTACGACTTGCAGCGAACTAAAATTCACAATAAAAAAATTGATCAATTAAGACTGCTTTCATTATCCTTTAAATAACACAAAAATTAAGAAATACAAAACTAAGCATTGGGAAGAATAGAAAATTTATAAATCAATGACCCACTAGTTAGAGAATATCAGAATGAAATATTTTCCCTACGTTATGATACAGCCTTAATTAGGCAATCTTACTTTACTTCATATAGAACATCTATTTAATGCACTAGCAGTTTTTACTTTTGTTTTATTGGGCTACTTTTTTTTTTTTTTTTTTTTACATTTGCTTTAAGTAATTTAATGTGTAAGACATAGAAACAAAACCCAAAATGGAGCTACAATTCATGGTATTTTCGTGTAGCTTTTTCTGAGAAAGACAATAAACTGCAGAATGGCAAACTGCCTGGAGGAAGAAACCACAAAGTTGTCTAAAAAAATCAGGTGTTCTTAGGAAGAATAAAACTTGTAATTTCTACAGAGATTTTGTTGAGACAGTGGTAAAACTTCTTTTCCAGTAGGACAGAAATGTTTGATACTTGCTTACAAGATTCTGTAGGCATAGCTACAGAAGAAGGAAGAGATTGTAAACTTGGGAGGTTTCATGGTTTATGAGCCAAGCCTGGCAATGGCTGTAAATATATTAAGTAACTAAATTCTAAAACAGTTCTGAACTTTTAAATCATGCAGTGAGAATCTTCCCCCCCCCCGCCAAGACACCAGTCACTGTGACTTTTAGATTAAAAATACAGACTTAAAAAAAACCAAAACAAAAGAGATCTTACTGAGATAACTGTCCTCTGCTGAGTCTTACCATCCTTCACCAGCAAAGAATTGACAGGTTTGACATAGTCTGACATTTGACAAGGTGCTGTAATTGACAGATTGCTAATCTGCTGAGCACTGTGAGCTCTGAGGTCCCACTCCGTAGAGACGTCATCCTTCAAAATCTCTGGGTTCTTCAGCTGAGTTCTGGCAGCAGGATCGATGATTCTGGCAGAATTCACATTGTGATTTTGCTGCAGTAGTGATCAGTACTTTCTGAGTTTCTCCAAAACACGGAGCACTGGAGTGGAGGTGTGGTGCAAGATCAATGGTTTATGGTGTTGTTATTTGACAAAAAGCAATTTTATGCTTTTAAGGTCAGGTGTAAAAAATTTATGTCAATAGGAGTCCAGACTTTTTACTTTCAACCAAAGTCAACTGTAGTGAGGAGGGACTGGAACTGTTTGACATGGTCCTGATGTCCTTAAAACCCCTTAGTATGCTAAAGCTAATACGAGGATCAGAACTATTAAAAATAAGATGATCTCTGGTTATTTTTTTTGTAAGCTGTCTCTCCCCAGTAGATATAAGTTTGACTGAGTTGTTTGTGTTCTCCATCACAGTAGCCTTTCAAATGCTTCACAGAGGATTGCATGTAGGTATGGGGGTTTTCATTTGGTCTCAGTTGGTGACTTACTGCCCCTTAACAGGTTTCTTAAGGGACTGGGCAGCATTTTAAAGCTATGAGGACTGGATTCAGTCACACAATGGCAAAAATGCTTTCTCCCTCACCTTGAACTCGCATGTCACTACATAGTCAACTTCTGTGGTCTTTTGTGTGAATTCATGTCTTGTCATAATGCTGTTTTAAGGCATTTCTTTGTCAAAGTACAGCTATATATGGTGGTCATTAGTCAAGATTGAACTCCTCAGAATTACATTCTACTGCAATTTTGTAATCACATAGGAATGATTTTGTTCCCAAAGGAATTTACTAATGGCTTTTAAAATGTTATATTCTAGCTTGCCAGTGTAATGGCCACAGCACCTGCATCAACAGTAATGTCTGTGATCAATGTAAAAACTTAACAACAGGAAAGCAATGTGAAACATGCATGCCAGGATATTATGGGGATCCCACAAACGGAGGACAGTGTACAGGTAAGTTGTTCTGCTGGGGGCAGGGGGGAAAGTTGAAATGACATTTTATGTAATGTGAATTTAACTTTTATAACGAAACATGAAATTAACTTTTCTTTAAAGGTTAAAGTTTATTCAGTAATACAGATGAGTTGATCAGCTAGGTTAATGGTTCAAAATCAGATTAACATTTTTAAGAGAAACTTTGCATTCAGAATCATCATTGTGCAGTTGTTGTTTGGTCTGGATGCTTTAAGAACAAGATAGTAATTTAAAGATTCCCTCCCAGTTAGGGAAAGGAGGAGAGGGAAACTATCTTGTTGAGCAAAACCTTAAAACCTGATATTTCAGAGAGGCTTCATTTCATTCCATGTAAACAATCCTCTGAAAAGCAGTGAGAAGGTACTTATAAATGAAATTCAGTGTCTACCATAATGTCCAATAGCACTGATTTGTATAAATGTGTGATGCTAGTGGAAAAATGAGGCATTTAAAGACCCACAAGTCTTATTCAAACAGAAGAGCCTGGTACGCTGAGGATTGTAAGGTACCCTAACCTATTCAATCTGTTGAGTATTGTAATTGCTGCATTGGAGGTGGAAAGAGAGAATGAAGTCCAGTACTACAGATCATTTTTGTATATTGCCATAGGGCTGCTTTTTTACTTGATGGGTGATTTTAAAGTTTGACAGTAACTCCTTCCCTTATAACTAAATGTGGGAAGGGGGAATATATTCAATATGAAAAGTCATTAAGGTAGTTGAGGTTGAATCTAGGAGGGTGCTAGAAAGTTTTGTCCCGTGACTTTTTCTTCTCTGTTATTGACACTTCTTTAACTGGACCTTTGCTTCTCAAGGAATATCTATTCATTTAAAGGATTTGCTTGTTCCTCAGCACTTTAACATGCCATAGTCAATGCATAAAGCTGCACTGCTGGTAAACTCAAGTGCAATATGTAGAAAGTGTGTTCAAGGGGATGGAAAGATTAATGTCTACCCCTATTGACAATTGCACATTTTACTGGTGCTTTATGATGCTTTAAATAATTCTTAATAGTTCTCTTATTTCCTGAAGTTGACAAAATGTTCTTTTGCTGTCTATATCACCTTTATGGCAAAATGATGTATTAATATAGCTTTTATTCTTCAGGGATACATTAGCTATCAGCCAAATAAGCATTCCATCACCTTTAGTGAATTATGTGTAGTGCAATAATGGCTAAAATCAATTTATAAGACCAGTAAAATTATAAATTTTATGAGTTGTTTTTTCAATCCTATTCTGTAAGAGTACATATTTTTATTGGTAGACATGATTTTAACAGGAGCTATTTAGACTAAAGAATGCTTTAAGAAATAAAAATTATAATTATTTTGAGGCTTTATCTGTGTTGGTGTATTATAATTTGTAATATAGAGCCTATAAATCTGTTTTAGTCTTTAAGACATTTTGATGAACATAGTCATTATGAACTGATAGATTTTTCCTTAGTATCATGATTTTTGTTCCTGTGATAGAGGTGCCCAAATTGTGGGCCAGGGATTTCTGCAGGAAAAAATACCACTGAACCATAGATAAATCAAATCAATTTTACTTGATTTTAAGTAGGTTTTGGAACCGTAGTTGGGATCAGGCAGTTTGCAAACATAAAGAAAGAAAGAAATGGTTCTATTTTTTGTTTTATATTTTTTTATCCTTCATTCTGGTAATGCTTTTGATAACAGAGAAAAAAGTTGGAAATAGCTCCAAATTAAAACCGTAATAAAAGCATAAGGAAAAAATACGAGTGGAAGAAAGGGCAACCCAGTCAGAAGCTGAACTTAAGTGTGACTGAAATAATTAGAAAATGAAACAGGAAATGATGTGGAATAGCCAGTCAAAGAAAAGAAATAATGAAGAACTGAAAAAACTGGTCGTCCTCTTAGTCCTGTCTTGTGTCCCTTTGCTGCTACCAGCTGAATTTCTGGCTGGACCCTACCAATGTTTCTTTTCTACTAAGACTCATCCTTTGGTACAAGGATCAAGACTGCCTGAGCATGTGGTGCATTTTTCCCTCAAAGCTCCTGAGTTATTTCTTTGAGGATCCAGATTGAAAACTTTTAAAAGGAATGTCAAGATAATGGCTATAATTCTTAAAGTACATCAGTAATACTGTAATATTATTCTTATAACAAGTTGCTATAGTTACAAGGATGTAACTTGCTTATGAATTGGAGAGCAGTTCAAGCTGGGAAAGGAGGTTGTACTCCATCTCTACAGTTGAGAGGCAAAGTGGTGTACACTGGGAGAAAAACTAAGGATTATTCTCTTAACATACTCATGACATATGACATAAAATATTTTTTTCACGGTTTTCTGACAAAAGTATTATGTATTCAGTACACATATGTATTCTGCTGTTGTAATATATGTACTTATAGGTAAAATCTGACCTCCCAGCTTAGTTTGACTATCGGTGATATAGATTAAAAATTGCAAGAAAAACTTCCCTTTCTTTTATAGACTGGATTAGCCTTTCTTGTTTCTTAGATCCCTGATGATCTTGAAAGGAAGGAGAAGGAGAGGTATGGCAGGTCTTTCAGTCTTTGGAACACTTTTTTTTTTCCCCTTAACTGTGCCAATCCTTTCCTAAATCCTTTCTGTTTATACTTCTAGGAGGTCGTTCAAAAAGCTCTGAAAGAAGCTGATTGTCCACCCCTGAGTGATCAGTTCTGTTCTGACCTTTGTCCAGGGTGGAAAACTCTGTACAAATGTAACTATTTTCCTTATTCTACTCTAGGAATAATGATACCTTTACAACTGTCATCAAATAACTGATACGTTCATAGTGGTATTGCATAGTGTTATGCTATAAAATTACTATGGGATGAGTAACAGTTGTTACAGGAAAAAAAGATAATTCATGTTTCAGAAGGTTTTGAATAGTTGTGATTAAAGAATGGGTAAAAAAAGATTACTTTTCTGTATTTTTACTCACTATAATTGTTGACATTTCAATAGCTTTAAAACAGATCTAAGGAGTCACTTTGCATCCTGATATGATGCAGGCTTAGTAGACGTGACAAACCTAAAAAGAAAGACAAAGAAAAGATGGAGGCATAACAGGCTTCAAATATGTGAAAGGAAGCTGAAAAGAGGAAATGATGATAAAGTGCCTTCCCCCCTGCCCTCCATTTGGTTGAGGAAGAAGTAATGGAACTAAGTTGCAACAAGAAAGATTAAGGTGGGATACAAGGAAAGCTTTCTACTGGTTAAACTGTAAAATAATGAAATCTGTATTATCACCTACACTATATTTTTAAGTTTTTCAAACTTCTTTAGCTTAGGAAAAGGGCAGTGGACTAGCTGATTCCACATGTTCTTCTCCAGTCCTAATTTTAGAAAGATTGTTAGAGGCTGAGCTCTAGAATGCAGGGAGGTATTGAGTAAAGATAAAGTATTCCGATTATATAAGAAAATGATCTATGCATAGCAAAAGGACTATGGATATTTGCCATGCTATAAGTGCTGGGAAATATGCAATGTTTTTATAGAAAGTCTAGAAAAAATAGAGTTATATGTACAGGTACTACAGACTGCAGAATAAAGTAACAGGAGAAAACAGTATGGAAGATTGCTTGGAACAATTTTGTGTCATCTTGGCAACATTTTTTAGCATTATTTTCAAACTTATTAATCATCTACTTAGTTGTCAATGTTAAAAAAAAAAAAAATTACCCTAGCTGCTCATCATCTTGTCATTTTCTTTATGCATGGTATTTTTAAAAATTATTCCTAAAATGTATGAGATGCCAGGAGAGAATTCTTTACAGTAACTTATGACACACACTGTGAATATATAATACACTTAATAATAAGATAACATAAGCACTTTGCTGTATTGCCCTTTTTTTTATAAAGTGATAACATCCCAAACAGTGTTCGGTTTTCCCGTAATTGTACTGCCATTGCTGTTCCTTTTGCAGTGGGAGTAAAACTATGAATACCAGTGCAGCAGGAACATTGTGTTTTAACTTGGACCGCTTTCTCTCTAAGCAGCCTTAAAAGGCATGGCGTTTAAGACACTGATGACCATTCCATAAAAGCCTCCTACCAGATAGGCTGTATGGGTGAAGTTTTTTAAACAAGCCTGAAGCATTTCTATTGCATTTATAGGTCTGTTTCCTTCTCTGCCATCACACAGTTGGACATTTTCAATACTAAAGGCAGCAGCTTCCCCCCGTGTTTGAAAATGTGAAGTTGATTGCTTACTGGAAATATTTAATTTTTTATCAGATCTTCAAACTATTAACAAAAGCAAACAGGTTTCTAATGAGTGTAGACCATGTGTGCATCAAGTCAATAGCATCTGATTCAGCCTGATCAAAGGTCTCGGTGCCTCTTTTGTTCCTCCAGTACATAGAGTATGAAGGGCAGAATAAATCTGAGCTTTTCTGCTATTCTTCTAAAGCATCTGTCTCTGTAAGAGCATGCCTTTTGCAGTGTCTCCTTCTTTTGCACATTGTGTAGCTCAGTACTTTTCACCTATATTTATGTACATATCAGCATGTGCATACATCTATACATACTACTCTCTGAATTCGTTCCACATGAACTTTGGCATCTATGCATTAGCCATCCGACTTACATATATCTACAGCAAGTGCCTCAAGAGATTTAAAAAAACCAACCAACTAACCAAAAAAAAATAGGCATCAAAGACTAAGTTGTTAGTCTACCTTTAAGGTGCCTTGCCTTAGGTGAAATTGACTCCAGCAATAAAATAGTTGCCTAGATATATTTGTGATTATTTCTGTTGCTTAAAAGAAGAAAAAAAAAAACCACTTATTAGTGACTTGTTGATGCCTAAGATATGTCTTCAGTAACACGAGGAAAATCCATGGTATTCAAATCTTGCTGCTCAAAGAATGTGATTATTCTGCTGAGTAACTGACATCTGAGAGGTGGGGGTTTTGAGAGACGAGGCTGAGGATGACAGAATTAATTACTTCTAGTATCTATGAAAGAGAGATGTGAGAAAG